TGAGTTACCAACTCACCTTGTTGGGTTTGGTATCAACAGAGCTCTCCAAAAGAAACCAATTCAACTCGTTTCATGAAGCGCTCCATGAGTCATCAACTCCACTTGTTAAATTTGGTATCAATGGAGTGTTTTATGAGTCTCCAATTAACTTTGTTGGATTTGGTGTCAATGGAGAACTTCATAAGTCACCAACTCAACCTGTTGGATCTGGTGGCAATGGAGCCCGCCATGAGTCACCAACTCAACTCCTTGGATTTGGTGTCAACGCAGTAGGTTGAGCTACGTCCAAGAGAACATGGAACCATCCATGTTGGCTGAACATCACTCCAAACAGCACGATTTTGGGTTGCTAGTGTTCTTTTCAAAGTTTATCATCGCCCCTTAATTCCCTCCCTCCCACCCCGCCATATAACTTCAGTGACTTCTGACCACACTCATTCTCAGGTGATACGAAACCACACAGGCTGCTAATGGGAAGGTCAGCAAGCACAGAAAACCCCTTGAGGACTCCTTTTGGGCGCTTCCGCCAAAGGCGCGGGAGGCCCCATTCTTGGCACTGTTGCCGCTTTCGCCCCGCGACAACAGTGAGAAGAACAGTGTTAATGGCACTTCTGATTTGGAATATCTGCAGCTAGAAACGGTGCTTTTCTCGAGCTTTTACAGTAGCTTAAAAATTTCAAAACTAGATATTTATTATCAGCAATGTAAGTTTCCCCCTTCTTGTAAAAAAAGAAGTCGACCCTCCCCGCCCGCCTGCCCACTTATAAAAATGCTGCCAGTTCATTGAAGCAATGCCTAAATTAAATCGGCAATTGTCTCCAAAAAACTGGCAAGATCAAGTATTTCTCCATTTTCTTTTAGTCCTCAAAGAGTTTATTATTATTATTAAAAGACACAAAAAACAGAACTTAACCATGTGTGCTAAATATTCTTCGCTAAGAGAAGAGTCCTTTCACCAAAATGGTTTCCTCCCTTCAAAAGAGGGCGCAAGCGTTAGGAACCATGGCGCCATCCGCCGCCACAATTATTGTCGCGTTCTCAATGGCGCCAGAGACAAGGCACTACTAATATGTCTTGAACAGGATCCTACTGTCACAGTTTCAATATTTTGGCTATTTTATTCCCCTCCCGCCCCCCATTCCCATTCCGATAAGAAGAAGAAGAACAGAAAAATCACAGTTCAACATGAACACAGTTGAGGTAATCAAAAGAACGGTCTATACCAAAATAGAATACGTCAAAGATGTACCAAGATGGTGAAAGGCCTTCATAGTATATAACATGGTTATTATTCTCACTTAGCATGCAGTACAGCATATAATTCTCTCTACCATGCCTTGGCTACGGCACTCTGCTAAAACTCTGGCTCATCTTTGGAACCAAACTAGATCTGAGGCGGATGTGTTTGAGTCTCTTGGCCAAATTACAACTCATGTCTGAAGGGTTTCCATTCCCTCCTGGGAATGCTCGCATGGAAGCAATCTGAGTGCCCAATTTGATGTTCCGGGAAACATCTAGGGAGATCGTGAGCTATGGAACCAACTCTGAAGACTCCACAATCCAAGCTAGTTTAAGATCATGGTCTTCTTAATTGACTCAAGATGCTTCCTACCTGCCTATGTAACAGAGAGAAGATGTTCTGCAATGACCTGAACCTATCGGCAAGGACCACAATGTTCTCCTTCTGCCCTCTGAATGTGAGTCAAAAAGGAACTGGTGAACACAAGGCCACAGCATATGGTCCTGGAGTTGCCAGATAAAGGGTGATTTTGCATCTTCCTATGTGGTACATTTCACCCAACTGGGAATCATCTCCATATAGATCAGTGGTTCTCAACCTGGGGTCCCCAGACGTTTTTGGCCTACAACTCCCAGAAATCCCAGCCAGTTTATCAGCTGTTAGGATTTCTGGGTGTTGAAGGCCAAAAACATCTGGGGACCCCAGGTTGAGAACCACTCATGATGGTTCTCAACCATCACGAGTGGTTGAGAACCATCATGATATAGATGCTCATGATGGATGTGGTTCTGGTCATTTTCCTAAAAGAACCCATTTGGGCCACTGAATCTCATGGGACGCGATTGTGGCAGCTCTCTGAGTGCCCAATTTGGTGTTCCAGGAAACATCTTGAGAAACTGTGGAGCTCTGCAGGCGTCCCTGCGGACTCCATAATGCAAGCTAGTTTAGGACGATGGTCTTCTTAATTGACTCAAGATGCTGTTGGATCCAGGTAAAGGGCTGCTTTGGATCATTCTGCGTGACAGATGTTACCCTACTGAGAACCATCCCCATGTAGAGACTCAAGATGAGGTTCTGGCCATTTTTCGGCACAACCTGGGGAGACCAGTCACAAAGGAAGACTGGCAAAAAAAAAGTGGCCGATCTATGCTGAGAGCCACTGAGTCTCACAAGGTGATGCTCGAATCAGAACATGTTCTGACGGGACTGCATCTGCCAGACAGTATCATACAAAAGCAAATTGCGGGGGCAGCCCATGATTGCGCGCCTAGCGGCATCTGACCTTCACGCGAGCAATTTTTTCTTGGTTGAAAAAGACCTTGCTTTAATCAACCCTCCTCCGCCTAATTTTCAGAAACCTGCGCAGACGGCGGTTCCCATTTTTGTCAGCATCAGAGCTTTGCAGAGCTAAGTAAGCTACAATCTCTTCACCTATTTTTTAATAACAATTGCACTTAAAATCTATCTCGTCTATCGACGAAGAAGCTGAGGCAAAGGAGGCAAACTACGTGCCGCTTTCTCTCAACTCCTAGGTGCTGTGTAGCAATGCGGTTATTCCTAAATATATATATGGCTTTTGCAGATCATGAGACAATCTACGCTAAGGAAAAGAGCAATTGGGGTTTCCACTAAATCACAAAGGCTGGGGAAAAAAAGAACAGCCTTAATAACTCAGAATGACTCACCAGGAACCCACATTGGCAACGACTGGCAACGATCACGTTCCTGGTGGACCATACCGAAAAAGTTGAGACATTTTACTCTTCCAGAGAGAGCTCCACAGTAGTTTGGGACATTTTATACCCTTCTGGACACCTCCAGAAATAATTTTGAGTGCTTCTGTGATTGAGAGAGAATTCCACTGTGCTCTGAGCAAAGTGCTATCCAGAACTATGTATGGAGCTCCTGGTAAAATGTCAACAGTTGATCAGTTTCCCCTAGATTTAACACAAATCTAGAGGGTGACCATAAGCAGGAAATTTAGACTTTCAAGAGGCGAAACGAAAAGCAGCAAGCAGGAATGGGCTGCCTGCCAGCCACCTTCAGAAATGAACACAACTGCAGGGATTATTTTCAGCCAGCAAGTCTTGCTTCTAGCAGGAGAATATTCTATCCCTGTCCAAAAAATAATATTCTGAATATTCACAGAGCCTTCCTGCCAACAGAAGCTTCTATGGGACCTTCTTGAAGAAGGCTACCTCTGGATGAGAAGCTTGCAGTTGAGTTGTTGCTCAGGAATGTTCAGAGTAATGTCAGGAAAGACTCCCTGACACCACATTGAAACTTGGCCTCCTAGTATTTCCACATTATAGCCAAACTGACATAACTTTAGCACACCAATTGCTCCTTCAACATTAATTCTAGCTACATTTCTCCTAACAGGCACTATCAGTATTAATTTTTTAATTAACTAAGGTAACAACCATGCATAGATAAATCCACGGTCCTCAAAAGGACGTCCTATTACCTGTAATAATGGGCATTACGACCCCACAGAAATCTTAAACTACTTTAAGTTACAAATAGCTGGCTTACACTTTTTCGAAGGTAACAACTTTAACCCTATTGAGAGTCCTATGGAGTGCAACAGGAACTTAGCCTTAATTTTTTTTAAAAGGGAAAAGCTTTACAGGCATTATGGAGCCACGTGAAAACATTCAAAATCTAAGCTGTACTATGTAGAATTCTAACCTGGAGGGGAATTTTCTTTAGAAAGAAGTGAAACTTGGAAGCTGTAAGACCAGTCGTTAACTCTGATCATATTGTCACATATTTTACAATAGAATAACACTTCCAGTTTTTATGATGTTCTAGAGATGTCAACCAAAACATACTTTTAGACATGTTCACAGATTTCTTGTTAAGAGGAACAACATGCCAAACCACCATGTTGGCTACAACCTCTCAAGAGTACATGTGTTCCCCCATTTCTCGCTTTAGGAACACCTTCAAAGCCAAAATCTTGGTTAAGAAGAACTCAAGAATAGAGGTGTTCCCCCAATTCTCGCTTTAGGAACACCTTCAAAGCTAACATGTTGGTTACAACCTCTCAAGAGTACATGTGTTCCCCCATTTCTCGCTTTAGGAACACCTTCAAAGCCAAAATCTTGGTTAAGAAGAACTCAAGAATAGAGGTGTTCCCCCAATTCTCGCTTTAGGAACACCTTCAAAGCTAACATGTTGGTTAAGAAAAACTCAAGAGTAGATGTGTTCCCCCATTTCTCACTTTAGGAACACCTTCAAAGCCAACATGTTGGTTAAGAAGAACTCAAAAGTAGATGTGTTCCCCCATTTCTCGCTTTAGCAACACATTCAATGCCAACATGTTGGTTAATAAGAACCCGAGAGTAGATGTGCTCCCCCATTTCTCGCTTTAGGAACAACTTCAAAGCCAATATCTTGGTTAAGAAGAACTCAAGAGTAGATGTGTTCCCCCATTTCTCACTTTAGGAACACCTTCAAAGCCAACATGTTGGCTAGGAAGAACTCGAGAGTAGATGTGTTCCCCCTTTTCTTGCTTCAGGAACACCTTCAAAGC